GTTAGTCCTACTATGCCTTTCCGGCCACCGTCCGACCACTTTTCGGTCATTTTCCGATCACTTTCCAGCAACTTTCCGACAACTTTCCGACAATCATCAGCCCCTCGTTCAATCACTTTTTTGCTGTCGTCCGACCACCTTCCAGTGACCTTCCGGCCTCCGTTCCGCTACAGCTGTCCGCTGCTACCATTCATCAGTTTTCTTGCAAAGAGAAAATTGATACTTCCCTCTTTATCTAATTCTATCTTGGGTGTTCTTCTTCTTTCAGGTTCCATTGTTTTCATCTTACCTCTACATTATTTAAAACATGTCGTCAGAGCCCACAACCTCCTTTTTTGGAACTCTCACTATAACAACTGAGAAATTAAATGGAAAAAATTACATGTCTTGGTCCTCTTCAATGGAACTTTGGTTCCTTGGACAAGGGTTTCATGATCATCTAGAAGAAGACAAAAGTAAGATACTAGAAGATCAGGCTAAACAATGGAAAAAGCTTGATTATCAACTCTGTGCTCTATTGTGGCAATCAGTAGAACCAAATATTTTAAACACTCTCAGATCCTTCAAAACATGTAACTCTTTCTCGAAAAAGGCTCAGAATATCTTCGCAAATGATATCCAACGCCTCTATGATTCCACTAATCGATTAGTCTCTCTCAAGCAAGTGGATAAAGATATGATGACCTTTATTGTTGAAGCTCAATCAGCAGTTGAAGAATTAAAGATGTTCCTAGAGGTGGATTCGTTAAAGGAGATAAAGCAAAAGTTGGATAAATTCTATATGGTTATGACTCTCCGAGCTATGAATTCAAAATTTGATCATGTTAGAGATCAAATTTTAACTGGACAAGAAATTCCTTCAATGGAAAGTTTGACTACAAGACTGCTTCGTGTTCCAACTCTCAAAGGAAAAAATAATCAAGAACTTGTTGAATCTTCTGCTATGATTTCTACTCGTGGAAGAGGAAATCGCAGCACTAGAGGAGGACGTGGAGGTAGAGGACGTCCTCAGTGCACTCATTGCAAGAGAATGGATAATACCTGGAAAATTGCTACTCTTTGCACGGTTTTCCTGACAAGAAGACTGTCAATTTTTTCAAATCTAAAATGGTTGAACCCAAGTTCTCTCACGAAGAATATCAGGAATATTTGAGGTTGAAATCCAGTAGTCTAGCACAGTCATCAACAACCCCAAATTCATCAACAACTTGCATTTCACAATATGTGGAAAGTCAAAATTCATGGATTATTGACTCAGGTGCTTCTGCTCACATGTCTGGTAATACCTCTTTGTTCTCTTATCTCTCATTTCCTAAAACTCCTCATCTCATAACCTTAGCCTACAGATCTAAAGTAGCCTCTAAAGGAACTAGTCAAGTCTCCATTTCTCCGTCTTTAAACTTAAAATCTGTTCTTTTTTGTTCCTTCATGTCCCTTTAGTCTCATTTCTCTAAGTCAATTAACCAAATTATTGAATTATTCAGTAACCTTTAATGCCAACTCTTTTGTTATACAGGAATGTAGTACGGGTCGACAGATTGACGAAGGACATGAATCTGGAGACTTATACTACCTTGGGACTAAATCATTTGTATCCTGTGTTGCATCCTTGTCTCCAAAACTATTACATGAACGTTTAGGGCACCCTCACTTGTCAAGATTAAAAAAAATTGTTCCTGAACTTCAGACTCTTCAAGATTTTGAATGTGAATCATGTCAACTAGAGAAACATACTAGGTCCTCTTTTCCTAAACGTTTTGAATCTAGATGTTACTCTGTCTTTTCTCTTGTTCATTCTGATATTTGGAGTCCTAGTCGTGTCTCATCCTTTGGCTATAGATATTTTGTTACCTTCATTGATGAGTTTTCTAGGTGTACTTGGATTTATCTAATGAAAGATCGTTCTGAATTATTACATATCTTTAAGTCTTTCCTTAACGAAATCAAAAATCAATTTGGAAAAATAATCAAAGTTTTACGAAGTGATAATGCCAAATAATACTTTTCTACTGATTTTACACCAGTCTACTTTTATCCACTCTCTTAAGTTCCCAAGGCATTTTACACCAGTTTACTTGTCCTCACACACCACAACAAAATGGTATAACAGAACAAAAAAATAGATATTTAGTTGAAACTACTCGTACCTTATTACTTGGTGCAAATATGTCTGTTCATCATTAGTGAGATGTTATTCTTACTGCCTATTTTCTCATTAACAGAATGTCATCTTCTTCTTTTGACAATAAAGTTTCACACTCTATTCTATTGCCAAAGGAACCACTCTTTCATATTTTTCCACGTGTATTTGGTTGTATATGTTTTGTTCATGATATGTCTCCAAGTTGAGATAAACTATCAGCTAGAGCCATCAAATGTGTCTTCTTGAGATATTCTCGTCTTCAAAAATGATATTGATGCTATTCTCCTAAAACCAAGAAATACTACATGTTTGCTAATATCACTTTTTTTTAATCAACTCCCTTCTTCCCTTCTTCTATGCAGGATATTAGTTCGGTCCAAAATGTCCTACCTATACCCTTAGTGGAGGCATTTGTACCTCCTCCTCCTGACACCCAAAATTCCACACAAAATACACTGGAATCCTCATCACTGCCTCTTATTACCTATCAACACAGGAGCCAAATGATCAGTCCCATGCCCCAAGATGAGTCTTCCTTAGCAGATCCTTCTCAATCATCCCCTGATACCAAATTCCTGATAATGATGACTCAAGTTGGCCCATTGTTATTCGCAAAGGTACTCGCTCTACTTGTAATCCACGTCCCATTTACAATTTTCTTAGCTACTATAGATTGTCTCATTCCTATTTTTCTTTTGTTTCTTCTGTATCCACTATTACTATCCCTAAAAATGTGAAAGAGGCATTTGATCATCCTGGATGGCGACAAGCCATGATTGATGAAATGTATCCACTATTACTATTCCTAAAAATGTGAAAGAGGCATTTGATCATCCTGGATGGCGACAAGCCATGATTGATGAAATGCAGGCTCTTGAGCACAATGGTACATGGAACTTAGTTCCTCTTCCACCTGGGAAGAAGACTGTTGGTTGTCGCTGGGTCTATGCCATTAAAGTTGGACCAAAAGGTGAAGTTGATCGACTCAAAGCTAGATTAGTAGCAAAAGGCTACACTCAGATCTATGGCCTTGACTACAATGATATTTTTTCTCCTGTGGCCAAAATGACTACTGTTCGACTTTTCTTTGCTATGGCAGCTATTTGTCATTGACCTCTTCATCAGTTAGATATCAATAATGATTTTTTGCATGGTGATCTTGAGGCGGAAATTTACATAGAGCAACCTCCTGGTTTTGTTGCTCAGGGGGAGTCTAATTTGGTTTGTAAGTTACATCGTTCTCTCTATGGTCTCAAACAATCTCCACGTGCTTGGTTTGGAAAGTTTAGTCACATTGTTCAAAGTTTTGGACTAAAACGAAGTGAAGCAGATCATTCTGTTTTTTATTATACTGCTTCAAGAAAATGTGTTTATTTAATTGTATATGTGGATGATATAGTCATTACAAGGGATGATGTTGATAAAAATTTTCTGCTAAAGAAAGATTTATGCAATCACTTTCAAACTAAGGATCTTGGTTATCTCAAATACTTTCTAGGGATTGAAGTGACTCAATCAAAAGAAGGCATTGTAGTCTCCCAAAGAAAGTACGCTTTAGATATCCTGAAAGAAACAAGCATGATTGATTGTAGACCAGTAGACACTCCTATGGATCCAAATCAGAAATTAATGATGCATCAGGGTGAACCGCTTTCTGATCCTGAGAGATATAGAAGACTTATTGGGAAACTCATTTATCTCACCATTACCAGACCTGACCTATCTTTTGCTGTTAGAGTTGTCAGTCAGTTTATGCAAAATTCACATACTGATCATTGGAATGTTGTCGTTCACATCCTAAAATATCTCAAAAAGGCTCCAGGACAAGGTCTGTTGTATGAAGATAAAGGGGTACCCAAATATCTGGGTATTGTGATGCTGATTGGGCTGGATCCCCTATGGACAGACGCTCCACAACAGGATATTGTATTCTCATTGGAGGCAATATTATTTCTTGGAAAAGCAAGAAACAAAATGTAGTGGTCCGGTCTAGTGCTGAAGCTGAATATAGAGCAATGGCGTCTCTCACTTGTGAACTAGTGTGAGTGAAACAATTCCTTCAAGAACTGAAATTTTGTGAGATCTAACAGATGAAGATGTACTGTGACAATCAAGCAGCTCTACACATCGCCTCTAATCCGGTGTTCCATGAATGGACCAAACATATAGAACTTGATTGTCATTTTATTCATGAAAAATTGTTGTCTAAAGAAATTTGCATTGAATTTGTCGGGTTCAATAATCAACTTGCAGATGTGTTGACAAAGTCTTTAAGAGGACCTCGAATTGAATTTATTTGTTCCAAGCTTGGCACATACAATTTGTATGTGCTAGCTTGGGGGGAGTGTTAAAATTATTATTAGTTAGTGGTTAGTAGTTGGTGGTTGTTGTTTTAAATATTGTAATCCTATATATATGAGATCATAGAGTGGAGTGATGCATCCCATCGAATTATAAATCCTCTTTTAACTCTCTTAACTTACTTTTAATAATAAATAATTAACAAAAATATTAAAAATAATAACAATATTAATAAAAAATAAAATTATTATAATTAAGGTAATTACAAATAATTAACTTTTTTTTAAATTTTTAATGTATTAACGAGTGATTTTATATCACCTTTGTTAAATAATCATTACTTTTTTGTTAATAAAATATTTAAAGAAGGCAACATACAATTTTTATTTTATGCTACATAATAAATTATATGTATTTATCATTTTATACATAAAGAAGGATTAGTGATAAAATACGTTCAATATATTATATACAAAATTATTTTTTATATTACTTTTGAATATGCAAAAGTAGAAAGAGAAAAGATTAATATCACTTCATTACTGTAATCAGATACCTTGTGTATCTTCTCATTGCCAGCATCAATGACTCGGATTACTCCATTGATTCCTCCAGCCACAACAAATGGGGTCCCATCAACATTGCATGCCCAACTCACTGTGTAAAAAGACTCATCCTTCTGGTCTACATAAAAACATATAAAAGTTGAAGCAGTTTTCTATATACATCTCTGGAGAAAAGAAGGCCTAAAAAAAAGAAGTTAGAGAGAGTAGAGAGTAGAGTGTGACCATTGACTTACATCTTCGTCTACGTAAGATTGCAAAACAGCAATGACTCCTCCTTCAAGACATTGATAAACAGTAACCTGAGGAATTAAGAAGAAAAAATGTTAAAAGGTTAGATGTTAGGAATGAAAAAGGAAAAAGGGTGGTGGAGGAAAAGGGAGAGGTGGGGGTACCCTATTGCCACCAACAGTGGCAAAAACATTGAAATAGCGGGAGTCAATGAAGTTGAAAACAACAGCATATAGAGGGCGCTTCCCCTCTTGGAGACGATTTGTAACTCTGTATTCCCTCTTCTTTGAAGAAGTCAGCGATCCCACCACTGGGTCACATCCCAAACCAAATGACTTCCCTGTTTCACCCACCATCTACTCTTCTACTTCTCTGAAAGGATACTCAAGTTGCCTACAAAGAAGCAAGAGAGTAGGGATGTAATCAGGTCCAGTTGGGCTGGTTTGGGGCAGTTCAATTCAATAATCAAACAATTCAAACAGGAACAGGTTGGCACGAGTTTCTCAATTTTGGGTATGGTCCCAAACTGAACCAGCTTGAACTATAGTGGGTTGATTGGGGCTGGTAGTCAGGTCAGGTGATTAAAATGATAAAACATTTATTCTGAAAATTAAAAAATCAAAAAAAAAAAAAAACAAACGAAATTATCCAAGCAAGTACAGTACAAAAGATTTAAAACAGATGAAATTCTGAAGCTAATTTCTTTTTAAAAAAGGCTCACTTTGAACTTAGCTTTCAATGGATCACTTCAAAGAAGAAAAAAGAATGGCATTCCATATGCAATAATGGCTAGCTAACCGAAACACATTGTGATTACAAAAGAGGAGCATCACCTTGGCTGCAACATGTAATTGACCAAGAATTGACAAAAACCGTCAAAGCAAATTATGGAGAAATGAATAAAAATAATACCACACAATGAAGCAAATCACTATCAAAGATTAGCGTTCCAATATACTTAGGTTTATTTCACTCTTGAACAGTGCCACTAGGGCTTTATCCGCATAGACCTTGACTTGAACCCGAATTCTTAAGTATAACACGGACAGTTCAGCTCAAAAAACAAACCAGAGGCAAACAGAAACGTTTATAAGAGTCCAATAAACAAAGACACTGTATAAGTACCCAATGTATGATTTGAACCAAGCACAGAACTTGAACAAACTCCAAAGGGAAAGGGAAAAAAGAGTTAGTTAAATAGTAAGTTAGTACGTTGGAGCCTGGAACAAGGAGTGTGAGAGGAAAGCAGAGAGCAGAGAGGGCTTCCTGAAAAAGTGTGGAAAGGAAAAGCGGGGAAAGGGAACAACAAATTAAAGATGTGTTAGTGAATATGTAAAAAGGAAAGAGGGAACCGAACACCGAAAGAAGAGAGAAGGGAAAAAGTGAGGATCAACCTTTGCACGCCGATGATACAACGGTGGCCGATGGCCGAAGTCGCGGTGGAGGGTAGCAGTGGACGAGTTAGGTCTTTGCTGAGTTCAACTGGAGACACTATCGTGCATCACAAAAGTAATTATTTAATGTTATTTTTTCATTTTGTTCAAATATTTATCGTCTTGTTTAGTATTGAATAAATATATTTATTAAGAAATAAAATTTAGAATTTTAAAAAAGTAAGTTGGATTAAACTATTAGACTAAATATTAATAATTATTTTTAAATATGTGTGTTATTTAAGCAAAAAGGAAAGAAATATGGAGAATAAATATAACTTTTAATTTTATCACAAAAGTGAATTTGCATGAGTGAAATACATACATTTTTTTTCCTTTTATTTTTTTATTTATTTTATCTTTTTCTTTATCGAAACACGCTGAGGATCATGATCATATCAAATATGCTTCAAGATCACGCGTATTATTGTCGAAAAGTAATCTTATTTGATTTATTATATAATTTTCTTCGTGGCCAAAACATGTATAATTTATAAAGAACAAGAAAAGAGGATTTTGGAGAAAAACTGCACGTTACCGCACATTTATTGAATGAGAAAGTTTGCTTTATTTGCCTTACAACAAATGAAATACAAAAAAAAAAACGACATTCTAAATAACTCAACAGACTCAATAAGTATCCCATAAAGATATGGATTTGTTTACTAAACAAATTAAGTTAATAATTATGAGCAATTCCTCCTTTAAACGGAAATATGTGACATTCAGTTTATATCAAACAATGGAACAAACTCCTGAGCATTTCCACAATCTTAAAAACTACTTTATGGGTTTTGTTATCACATCGGTAGTTGAATTTTTGAACTACAATGAATAAGTTTAATGTTATCATCGTTTGTAAACTCTAGAAGAAAATGAAAACACACGTGTTTAGTGCCACCATGTATAGCTTGATTCTTTTAAAGTTTAATTGTTGAGTTGCAAGTATAGAACACAGTAACAATTTCTTGTTTCAGACCCAGATTTTTCTAAACCTTTATTATTCATATTGCTTTCAATGCACATAATGTAGAATAATTAAATTTTGGCCCGTAATAAATAAACTTATCATCAATTGTTTTTTTATAGTCAATGATACTGCTCATGAATATAGAAGAAACATATACCCTCAAGTGTTTTTTTCTATCATATAAATCTCTAGCATAATTATTATTAGTGTAGGTAACAAGTTCTTCATCTCCTTCTTTCTTGTAAAATATTCCAAATTCAGCTGGACCCTTCAAATACCTCAATGCTTGATTTGTAACTTGCAAGTGCACCTTAGTAGGATTTTCCATATATCAACTTAAAAGACTTACTACAAACGTCATGTGTGATCATATAGACGTAAAATACATGAGACTGCCTACGACTTGTTTATAAGGAGTCTTGTCTATTTTGACTCCTTCTTCGTTCTTAACAATCTTAAAAATTGGAACAATAGGATTGTGAATCGAGTTACTCTTATCCATTCCAAATTTCTTCAACACCTCTAATGCATACTTGTGTTAACTAATAAAAATACCATCAAATTTCTAAAGAACTTCAAGATCTAGAAAATATTGCATCATACCATAATCTATCATGGTCAACTCGAGCTTCATTAATTATTTGAATCCAACAATCATTGTCCCATCATTACTAGAAATGATAAGATCATCCACATAAAGACCAACAATCATCACTTTACTATCTTGTCTTTTAAGAAATAAAGTGTGCTCATAACTACATTTCTCAAAACCATCTTTCATGAAATAAGCCTCCACTTATTGTACCATGCACGTGGTGCCTGCTTAAGCTCATATAAGGTTTTCTTTAATTTGTACACCATATGTTCATTTCCCTTTTGAATATAACCATTTGGTTGTTCTACAAAAATAGTTTCACCTAATTGATGAAGTTAATCTTGTTACCTAGATTTCATCAAACAATTTGCAATAAAAATAATACAGTACTAAGGCTTGGCCTAGGTCAAATATTGAGGATAATTGTTTTGTTTTGTTTCAAATCTTTCTTTTCAAATGTCAAAAGTTAGGAAATATGAGAATTTTTGTAATTTTAATTTATTAAATGCAGTAAATGAAAACAATAAATCTAAATTATGAAAACATTTAAATGAAAGCAGTAAAGAAAACTTGTAAATCTAATATATGAAAGTTGTAGATTAAGAACAATGAAGAAACTTTATTGATTTTTCAATCATAAACTTGTTTTTATGATTATCATAGATTTCTATGGAATTATTTTGCAATCACAAAAAAAAATCCACAACAATTCCAATCAATTACAATCCAATTGAAATTCAGTACTCACAACTCACTTCTTAAATCAAACAATCACTTAAACCTAGAAGTTGAATTATGATGTAAAAAAGATATTCAATCAAATAATATCAATTTACATTGATGGTAATGGATTATAATTGGTTAGAATCATTAAGAATCAAATCTAAATCATAGAAAACAAGTTTTAATTGGTAGATTAACAACAAAAACGAATTAGAACATAATTAACAATTAAAACACAAAGAACAATAAAGAAATGAGTGGGAGAAGATATAAAATATAAAAAACAGAGAGTAAAAATGAATAATTAATAGAAAAGGAAACAAATCTGATCAAGAAGAACTTGAATTGATAAACTTTATTCCATTATTCGTATAAGAACTCCATGAACAAACTTGAAAGCTAAACATCATTAAAAACTAGAGAAACTTGTAACTAAAACTTAACTTATATTTCTACACCTTCAAAGGTTTATTTATATAACAACAAAGGTATACGAAACAGTCAAGATCCATAAATATAAAATAGAATTTAATACAACATTATGCAAAAACTGATATTTGACACAACTGCTTAATAGATTTCCAGTTAAATTAGTTACATGAGATTTTGATGCAATCTGCTCGATGGATTGTCGTTATTTTAATGAAGAGGTCTCTGGACCGATTCTCGCTAAGCAATAACTTCGAAGTTTATTCCACTAAGCGAATTTATAAGCGCTAAGCTGGATTTACACTATTTTAGCTTTTATAATTTCTTTAATTTATCATTCCTGCAAAAGAAAATAAATAATTAGTAAAAATGTACAATTTAAGCAATAATTTATATTAAGATATTTTTATTTTCTTTTTACAAAATTATATTAAGTATTAATAATCAATTAAGAAAATATACTAAATATATGTAAATTATATTAATAAAATCATTGATAAAATGTGTTCATTAAATAACTACACACTTAAACTTTTGTATTTCCAAGCAAAATAAAGTTTATAAAATAAAATAAAAATGAAGATGAAATACATTTTATCAATAAATCAAGTTAAAATCAATAATTCAATTATAAAGACTTCACAATCATAATGTTAAAATACAAGTATTTTATCAATTTATTCTAAATTTATAACAAGTGATCAAGTAGTCATATAAAATAATTAAGATTATAAATTCTCACATGGATAAATTTAATTACACTCAATCACTCAAATTATTTATGGTAAGTGTTTCTCTCAATTCACATCCCAAATAATAAGATTAATCATACGCTTAAGAAAGTTTTAAATTAAATAAACAAGAAACATATGTAAATTAAAGATCATTTTTTTAAGGTTGTAATGACGTTAAAGTTAAGGTATGATATAAATAAATGGAAGACAAAACTAATACTGAACTTAAGAATTAAAGAGAAGAATCAAGGAATGAACTTTTAAATAAATCACAGGAATACTATACTTTAGAATAAATATTTTTCATTGCCTTTTTCTCTTTTCTTTTTCTTCTTGCTTTCTTTTTCTCACATATTTATTCTTATTTCTTTTTTCAGTTGCTAATCGATTTTTTGTGCACTTAGTGAATAAATTATTATTATTATTATTATTCAATAATTTAAAATTCATGAACATTTCAGATTAACATAAA